CTACAATTTTCAATTAATGGGCATGTGTCGTTAACTTAGTACGAAAAAAAAGTTTTAGATGGCAGACGTCTCATTTCACCTATTCTCCAGTTCATAGGCGGATTATCAATTAATACATCAAATTTATTATATAATGCTATTGATTCTTAATAAATATTTAATATTATTGATTTTTAACAAATATTTAATATTATTAATTCTCAACAAAATATCTAATCCTAATTTACAACAACTAACTAATATAGTACTAATAATTCACAACAACCAACCAATACTACTTATTCTTAACAACTAACTAATACTATTTATTCTTAACAACTAACTAATACCACTTAAGTTGAGGTTATGTCTTTGGTTTTTATTAATATATACTTATTGTAACAAGTCCTTTATATATACATTAATACAGATCTACAGAGACTTAGATTAATTTATTTACAATCTAAACCTACTAGAATGGTTCATGCCTCACATATATCTCACCTAACTTAATGCTTTACAACTAACTATTTCTAGTAATATTATATTCCTCCCATATCTTATACAACTAATTATAACTTCTAATATAGTATATCAGGTATCTACTTCTAATAAGCTTCTAATTTAGTATACTTGTAAGTATAATCTACTGCAAGTTCTCACTAAAGTACTTTATTTGTGTAATTATGATTGATATAGATAGTTTTTCTATAACCTGATATCTTAAGCCAGAGACTTGCTGCCTAGCTAGATTTGTTACATAACAGTATATATTTTTTTATTAAATTTATTTATATAGAATACTAATTTTAAATTATAGAAAATATATAATAGTGTTGTAAAATGTTTATTTTTATAACAAATTTACTTCACCCAAAGTGGTTCAAAAACTTTAAAAAGTTATATAGAAAAAAAGCTCTTTGAATATATATTTGATATGTTTCAACTTGTTTATTAATTGTTTTTATTATAAATAATTTAGTGCTATATGTTATCAATTAGTATTTTTTTTAATAAATTATTTTTGTTTTATAATTATTTTTATTTAAATAGTTTTTAATCACTTTTTCTATAATTTTATTTAATAGCTTTTTCTAAAAATGAAGAATTATAAAGATTTAGTATTGTAATATATTAAATCAACAATGTGAAAGATTTTTAAATTAAAAAGATTACTATCATTTAAAAATAATACTCTCAGCATCTACTATAGTAGTTTAGAAGGAAAGTCTTTTAATGAGTAATTGTCATTAGTTACTATTTAAACATAAAACTAAAAAAGATTCTAGATCACTAAAATTGTAAGAACTGTATTTATTGATCTGTTTTAATCAATGAACATTATATATTTATATTCACTATATATAATATATTTCTAAACCCAAAATCCAAAAGTATCATATAAACTAGTTGCTGAGAAAAGAGACTAAATTAACATTTTTTTAAAAGTAATTTTTTTATATAAATTGATTTAGATTAGAATCATTTTTACTTAAGATATATAAGTAGTTATATTAATGGGTATCCATAGGGTATACTAAATTTAGTACAAACTACTAAATTTAGTATAGTATTAAAATGAAGATAAAACAAGAAATATTATTAATTATTGCATAAAACTTTTACAAAACATAGGTAAGTATGTATAGTTTTTATAACAATAAATTTATAGTCATGTATCTTTACAAATTGGGCATAAGCAAGCCTTTTTTAGAAGGTATTGTCACATTTATTCGCCTTTGCAGATCAGATTTTAATTATACTTTCTAAAAAATTCTGCTTATATTTAGCCAAAAAAAAAAGTAATTTATTCTATGCTTATGTTATAAAATTCTTTATTTGATATATCTAAAGTACTTTGGTTGAATCACAGGACACATAATATATTACGTAATCATGATTATAAAGCATGATTACGATTATAATCATGACTATAATGTTATAATGACAGATTTAGAATAGTTTAATGCATGGATTAGTAATACATATATAATGACAAAGTTTATACGTACTGATTCAAAAAAAAAAAAATTGTCAAAAGCCTGTAAAAAAAAAAGTGATAGCGATAGTTATCCACATAATTTTTTTTAGCATAAACTTTATCTTGTATATCATCGTGGTTTGTGTATAATGATTTAAGATGGGACCTGTACAAATATTATTAAAGCAGAAGGATAAATGAATTAGTAATATAAAAAATCCTAAACATTAAAAAAAAAAAATCCTGAACATTAATTAAAAAAAAAAAAAATTCTAGCTAAAATAATACAATATGCCAAGAATATCAAGTAAAATAACAGTTGGAGGATGAGTTAGTTTTAAAGCATCTGCATTGCCAAATGAAATAGTATTGCAATATTTAAAACATCGTTGTGGTAACTGGAAGAACCAATATTTTTATGGTATAATCATAGGAGAGTTAAATGAAGGTGGGCGCTTGAGGTATCAGATCAACGTGGAAAGTCTTGAAAACACAGTCATTAATGTTCTTGCAGGTAATCTGTGATATAAAAAGCCAAATGCCTTAGCTAGTAAAGAACCACCATCAAATGATGAATTATTAACAGTTCTTATAGAACATTCTGATGATAATAAAATTAGTTCTGATGATGGTGACGATAACGATAAAGATGAAGAGGATAACGATGACGATGGTGATACAATTGACCTTTCTACTGTAGTAATATAGAAGGAACAATCTATAACTATTGACCAATGTGAAGTTCATCTTTCATATAATTAGGAATGTAGTATTAACATCGAATTTATTAGACTGGCTTCGCCATTTAAGTTGTTGTGTCGATATCTTCTGCTTGATTATATTAGACAGCATATGGTTAATTCTATTAATATGTGTGGGAGACAAGTCTGAGGCTAAGTTGATGTAAATTTTGGTAAATATATGAGATGGTTGGGGTTATGGGTATTGATGTCTGCTTTTTCCGTAGCTGATTGTCATTTTTATTAGAGAACAACAGAGGAGCTAACAAAGCCTATGATGTCTTTTAATTTTCAACGCTAGATGCCTCTTTTACAGTTTGAGCAAATAGTATTTTGCTACACTTTAATGATGCCGTGTGAATTAAATATACCAAATCTTAATAACCCATTGTATTCTGTTCGTAGTTTTGTTAATGCATTTAATAAAAACCTAATTGAAGCTGTAAAGCCAGAAAAAACATTATGTATCAATGAATCAATGAATTTATGATAAGGTAGTAAAAACAAAATACCAGGCTGTCGGAAGATACCATGCAAACCACATCCAGTGGGACAAGAATGGAAGACACTAGCAGATAGTTCTACAAATATTATCATTCAATTTAGTCCTGTGAAGATAAAGCAATAGAAAAAAAAAAGTTTGTTTCAGATTATGGTAGTACAACTGTATATGTTTTGCATTTAGTGCAACCATGAAATGGTAGTAGACGAACTGTAGTCGGTAATAGTTGGTTTGGGTCCCTGAAGCTTTGTATAGCATTAATGCAGAATGGATTATATAGTATCTTTCATATTAAAAAAAGGCAGGAATGACCTCTTAATTATCCCGTGATATGGTTCAAAGGCTTAGAAGCATATATAGATCTTATGTTTCAAAAGTTACAAAGATTAATAATATACATTTAATAGCAGCTTTCTTGAAAGATCAAAAACCACAATGTATTGTTATAACTGCATCAACTACAACATTGTGTAATGAGGTTAATCATATAGTTAAAGAAGGTGCTAACTCTTCGGTGATTAAATTTACAAGACCAAAAGTTTTTTATGAATATTCTTGTTCTAAAGGTGCTATTGATATTAATAATCAGGTGTGTAAATTTTTTTTTTAATTATATTGTTATTATAATGCTGTTATATTATATTACTATTACAATATTTTTATATTGTAATATAGTAATTGTTATAGTAATACAAATGTAACAATGTGATCTGATATTTGTAACTTTATTTTTTTGTTTATTATACTAACAATTAATAAAATATATATTGGGTTATTAGGTGCATGACAATATAACATCTTTTCATGATGTTATGCGTAGATCTAGTTGGGAAATGCATGTATATGCTTTTTTATTAGGAGTTGCTAAGGCAAATGCCTTTTTGCCCTATAAAAAATGGAGCAGTGAGGTGCATAATATATCACATTTTGATTTTAGATGATTATTAGCAGATGAGATTGTTAGTGAAATTTTTTCTGATAGTGGAGTTTTATTGCCAAATACACGATTACAAAAGTGAAAAAGAGAAACAGAATTATTATACAAATTAGCAACTTTTCCAAAAAAGAAAAAAGCTAAAAATGTTACAATTTATCTGCAGTTACACTGTATATACTGTAGTACAAGAACAAGATATCATTGTATTTGTAATACATCAAAGGCAATATGTATTAGTTGTTATAGCCAACATCTTTTAACAAATTAACTATTTCAAAATAATAAATAAATGTTGAATAAATTGTGATTATTTTTTTATAATAGTGTTTTATATTATTTATAAAGATAGAATTTTTTTTTTATTATACTAAATTTAGTATATCAAAATTAAAAAAAACAATAATAATTTGTAATTTAATTTATAAAATTTTTTAATAGTAAATATTATTAAAAATTTTATAAAGATATTAAATTTGATTTAAAGGTTATTTTTCTTTTTTTTTTTTTGGTGTTTAGGTGGGATCTTGCCTATAACTTTATTTATTGTTAATACTTTCATTACATGTATTACTACATTTCCGTATTTATATATATCAAGTACACCAAGCTCAGACTTGAATCCTATTGGTTATCTACGCTCTGGCTAAAACCATCACTTGCGCGATAGGTGTTCCCATCCGCTATCTGGCTACTGATCCATTATTTGCGATCCAAACCTATCGAAGCGGTACGTCTTTATGGATAGCACTCATCTGGTATTTTTCCACCCTTTACTAGTCCTATTTTGGTACACTTCCCTATGACGTCATTCCTCGCATCTCTCATACCACTTATATCTAAGCTCTCAAATTTAGTAGTCCCTTCTGGGATATGGCCTCGTAGCCTCAAGAGCTACTTCCAATCTTGGTTATCTTCAGCTAGTCTGCCCAGGTAGTATCACGAAGAGGAACTCATGTGGCCTAGATTAAGCCTCGTCATTAACACCTAGTTTAGTTAGTATGCTGCCGATTCCCGTTACCTTTATAGGTAGGTACTCCCGTGTGTTAGTGCAGGCTCATCGTATTGCATTATAGGTTACCCCATAACTTCCAGATTGTGGGTTTCGTATTACTTCTCTTCTATAGTTTGAGCTATGGTGTTCCGGTACCCTGATATTTTAGATTACAGAGCTCTAGAGGTCTAGACCTAGTTGCGGCTTGCAGTCCGTAATACTTCCAATTTTAGTATTTGGTGTTCTTTATCAATTTCTGATATACAAGCCCGATTTGTACAATTGTACTACCAGCCTGGTGAATCCAGCCATTTCGAGTTTTT